GGAATTCTCCCTTTGAACAGGAGCAACCTGTGCCTTTGCTCCTCCTGCTGAATCCTTTCCCCTCTGGACTGAGGCCAAGCCAGGCTGGCAGTGCCAGGGGACAGGGGGACAGCACAGCCACCCCCACRGCCCTCGGGGACCCACCTGAAATTCAGGAAAACCCCACATTTACAGACAGCAGCACCCCACTGATGAGAAAAAGAACCATTTTCCCAAGGAAACTGGGCTCTCAGGAGGAAAAAAAAAAACCACTTTAAAAACAATGAGATTTGCTGGGGACGGTTTTACCGAGGAGCAACAATCGCCACGTGCTCCTGGGGGAGAGCTCCAAGCCTTGATCTGAGCTCTGCCCACAGCTCCCGCCGCCTGCAGCACTGCCAAGATCGGGGCTGTGCCACTGAAGTCATGATCCAAATATTTAGGCCATGGAGAGCTCTGTCCCTGTCCTGTGTCACACCGACACAGCCTCGGAGGGAGCGTCCCACGGTTCCCAGAGCTGACAGTGAACATCAAGGGTGAAGTTCAGGAGGTTTCACATCATTAAATCTTCCCATTGCTCTCCTCTCCCAAGGTAAAGCATTTTAAGGAAACCCTTCAGCTGTCATAAAGGACAAGACCACGATCTGATCCTACACCTGGGGGTGGTTTTTTTTATGACAAATCAGCTCAAACTTCCCCCACTTTTATTTTCTTTCCTTTTTCAGAGTTAACTCAGCAGATCAACATCTCTCCGTGATGCCCTTTCCAGGAATTAAAAGTTTAATCATAGAATCACACAACGATTTGGGCTGGAAGGGACTTTAAAGCTCATTTTGTTGCCATGGRYAGGGCARGGACAYCTTCCACTGTCCCMGGGTGATCCCAGCCCCAATGTCCAGCCTGGCCTTGGGCACTGCCAGGGATCCAGGRGCACCCTGTGCCAGGGCTCCCCACCCTCAYAGGGATGGATTTATCCCCAATATCCCATTTAACCCTGCTCTTCCATGAACCAAATGACAAGAGCTGAGCCTGAATCACCTGAGCCAGCTGTGACAAAGCTCTTGGTGCAGGTTGGGGTGACGAGCAGAGTGGGCTGCGAGTGCCAGGGACACCCTTGTGCCCACGAACAGCCCCAGGCAGCTGCACAGCACCCAACAATCGGCCTTTTATTACCCCCGTTCCAAAGAAACGTTTCTCCTCCGCAGCGCTGATAGCAGCACAGCGGAGCAGATAACCCAAATTCGCCTTTTTGAGCACGTCTCTGGGAGAAGAAAGGACAACAACGACACAAAAGACACGCCGGTGACTCGCGGTGCCCCGGGGCTGAGCGCGATGGAGCTGTGGGAAGGCAGTTTTCGGTGAATAACCGCATTTCGCTGCCTGTCCCCACCCTGCGCTATCGGGGAGCCGCTGTCCCCGTGGGCGGCGCTGGAAAGGGCAGATAGCGCTGCAAAAGAAACTCGGCAGCAGCAAAACAATCCCCCCAGGAGGAAAGCAGCGCTCCCCTGGCYGCCCTCCGGGAGCCAGAGCATCCCCTGCCAGCCTGGGAGCTCTCCGTGCCCGCAGGAGGCTCGGGCATCTCATCCTGCGGGYATTATCGCGCTCCCTGCGAGGGTGAAGCGGTGAATGAATGCTCGGTTTGCAGGGCTGAGAGGTGATTCAGTGGATCCGAGCACAAGTTTGACCCGGAGMATCCCCCGAGCATCCCTCCCCCAGCTCGGGGGCTGCCCCTCGCCCCTCCCAAAGGATGCCAGCCTTGAGGGGTGACACAGATCCTCTGAATTTATCAACTGTACATTTGGTGTTTGTCCACAAAAACAACTCTAATTTCCTTCTGAGCCTGGGAACGGTCTGATTTCAGAACTTTTAGAGGCCCCCAAAGCTGAGTGAGCTGCAGCCTCCCCAGGCTGGCACAGACTGACCCCAGTCCAGGCTTTGGGTTTGAGGTTCCATTTAATGGCATTTCAGATCCATTTAATGAGCTCTGGAGGAGGTCCTAACAAAGCCTGGTCACCTGTGGGTGCCACCACGTCCTCACTGTGCCCCTGGCATCGCCAAAAACGAGGCATTCACGGAACAAGAGCTAAAAAGGAACAGCTCCTCCCCACCCCCTCCCACTTTTCAGCTTCATTGCCCTCTGCTTCACTGCTTCCTCATGCAGTCAGATCCTCTTGTGCTGAAAAAAAGGTTTTCTCTCAAAACAGGGAAATCCCGGGCGTTTCTGCAGGCTGCAGGTTTCTGTAGGTTTGCTGTGTCCAGACTCCACTATAAATTTCATTATTTTTAATTAATATATATTTAAATAAAGCCTGTCCTAGTTTTGTGAACCCTGCATGGAGCCAGTTCAGCTGCGCTCAGCTGAGTGCCCAGGACACGGCTCCAGGCCAGGAATACCCCAAATAAACCCCAGCCCCGCTTCCTTCTGCTCACACCCGGCCTCATAAAAACCCCACTAAACTCTTTTCCACCTCTCCACACCTAAATTTCTCGCAGGTCTGAGACAAAGCCGTGCTGGGGCTGACAGAGCTTCCCGAGGGAACAAARCACATGGCACAGGGGGCAGGATGCAGGCACAGGATCCCGACACCTCCCCGCGCTTCCGCCGCTGGGAAAGGGGCGGAAAAACGGGCAGGAACTCGGCTCAAACATCCTGAAAATCCCGGGGCTGTGCAAACACTCAGCTCGCTCCCAGCGATGGCTTTGGTGAGATGATGACATTGGCTTTAAGGTGATTACAAGAGAATTATTCAAATCGCTCAATTTCGGCCGCCTCTGTTCTCCTGGAGCACAAACAGATTTTTTCAGCTGCGTTTTTGGTGGGTTATTCTGCAGGTTTTTGGTGGGTTATCCTGCAGTTTTTGGTGGGTTACCCTGCAGTTTTTCAGTGGGCTATTCAGTTGCTTTTTTGATGGGTAATTCTACAATTTTTGGTGGATTATCCTGCAATTTTGGTGGGCTATTCAGCTGCTTTTTGGAGGGTTCTTCAGCTGCTTTTTTGGTGGGTTATTCTGCAGGTTTTTGGTGGATTATTCTGCAGATTTTTGGTGGGTTATTCTGCAGGTTTTTGGTGGGTTATTCTGCAGGTTTTTGGTGGGTTACTCTGCAGTTTTTTGGTGGGTTATTCTGCAGGTTTTTTGGCAGCTAAGCGGGACAAGGGAGCAAATCCCTTCTCTCACCTCCCATCTCATACTCACCTAGGGCAATAAAAAAACAAAGGAAGGCAACAAAAAACCCTTTGATGAAGGGAAACTTTGTCTCTGGTTATTACCGAAAAYATGGATTTATAGCACAGAGCACAGAAATAATTTGGGATTCTTAAATGACCAAACAAACTCTTGCACAAGAATTCAAACCCCCCTGTGTCCATTTGCCAGCTGGAATGGAGAACAGGTGGAGAAGAGATCAAAGCARTAGAAAAGTGAAATGTTGTTAAATGGAATAAAATAACTCTTTGATTTCTGGCACCATGTTAAACCTCACCCTGCTCCACAGGGTTAAAACTACACAAAAGCCAAAAGTTGCCTGAAGTTATAGATGGAGTGAACTTCTGGCTGTAAATACGTGGTCTCTGCTAGGACATTTTTATTCTCATTTGGGTCAAAATGGGGATGAAAAGAGCTGAAAATGAGATGTTATTGCGCGATAGGCTGACACCCTCAGCCTACAGTAAATAAAGTTTCTCTGACAATGTTTTCCTYGGTGTGAGGCTGGGGTTAAYRCTYGGATAGAACAACAGACTRAAAACCAAACCAGCCRTCTCTAAAGCAGCTTTATTCTCTAAGTCGCCTACTTTGGATACATTATACCTGTTTAAAATAGAAAGCATTTAAATAATGATTTAAGTTTCCCTTTCTCTCAGAGGCCAATTAAGTTATTTTACAATGTTTACCTGGTTCYTGACACTGCTTGAGAAACCTGAACAGACGTAAGCAAGGAATCATCCAGGACTGAGCACACACACAAATGGGTTTTTAATGCACCACACAGAGCAGGCTGGCAACAGAATTTMTACTGGTGCTGCTTTCAGAAGGATAAATAGGGAAGGGAGTTAAATATAATATTTAGGAATTGTGTTTTATCAGAAAATAGGGTCCTCCACTGAAAACTTTCACTCAATGGGTACGGAGCACCCAGGTTTTAAAGGGTTTCTGTCAAATTCCATGATAGAGGCAAGAAATAAACACACCGAATGYCAGGACAGGGCAGTAAAATCTCTCTGTCCTGAGCTGCAATCACCTGCCTTCCTTCCTGGCCTATGYATTTCTCAGTTTTTCAAAGCAAAAGTGACCTAAAGAATCCCTCGAACCCCAGCTGCCCAACAGCCAATTCCCACCCCCGTTCCAAACTGTGCCYGTCACCCAGGTGTGCCCAGGTAACTCTGCATCCCCAGCCCATTCCTGCACCCAAACCCCCCTGGCACAGCCCCTGCGCAGGAGATGGGACWTTTCCGAGCCGGGGACAGCAACGCCGCTGCTTTGGGGTGCAAAGTCCGGGGAAGTTTTGGTCTTTGAAACGCTCATCCCTAAATACCGAGGTTAAACATTCATAGCCCGGACACGGCCCCGCTCTCAAGGAGCCGGGCTCCTCTGCGCCCTCCGAGCTTCCTGCTGGCGACGGCGGCGGGGACACAAATCCTGTCACCCCCGGAGGGTCACAAAACTTGGGAGACAGCCCTGGAAGTGCCGACTTCCAAGAAACCTCCCTCCATTCATTGCACCGGCGGGTTTGGCAGGGAGCGCCCGGGGCTCCTCACAAAAGCATCGCTCTGAAAACGGGCGATTCAGGATGACCAAAAAAAATTTAAAAGACAAGAAAGAAAATGAAGAGAACGGCTTTTTTTTTGCCTGCTTTTCCCTTCCCGGAGSGCTGCGTTCCCGAGCCCGGCTCATCCGTTGTGCCCGTCCGGCCGCTCCCGGCTAACGGGATGGGGAACCGGCCCCGCTCGCAGCCCCGGCGGTGTCSGGGGAGCGGAGCCGCTTCCACCCGGGGCTGTGAGCCCCCCGAGCCCCGCCAGCACCCACCTTGTAGACTTTGCCGAAGGCTCCATCTCCCAGCTCGCCCACCACCTCCCACACCTCGCCGGGGTCCAAATCGCGGCGGACGTGCTCGTATTCCTTGGAGCGGCGCTTCTCGAAGGCGGAGAGGCGCAGGATGCGGCGGAAATTGGCGAAAGCCATCCCGGAGTGCGGCCCCGGGAGCTGCGGAGCCGCCGCCGCCCGCTCCGGCCCCGGCAGGACGGAGCCGCTGCGCGCCCGGGGAGCGGCGAGGCGGGACCGGGGCCGCCTCCAGCCGCGCACATGGAGCCGGAGCCGCTCCACCTGCTGGGCTGGGCTGGGCTGGGCTGGGCTGGGCTGCCCGGGACAGGGCCATTGGACACCCGCGCCCTGAGCCCGCCCGGCCGGCACCGCCCCGCACGGCACGGATCGGTCCAGACACGGCAAAGATAGGGAACGGCACGGGTACAGAACGGCACAGACAGGGAACGGCTCGGGTACAGCACGGCAGAGACAGGGCACGGCTCGGTCCGGGATGGCACAGACAGGGAACGGCTCGGTCCGGAATGGCACAGCACAGACAGGGCAGGGCTCGGGTACAGCACGGCACAGACAGGGCACGGCTCGGTCCGGAATGGCACAGCACAGACAGGGCACGGTCCGTCCCGTCCCGACTGTCACGACTCAGCCCGAATATGGCCCGGCACCGCCCGGCACGGCTCATCCCAGACACGGCTCTGCCCTGGCACGGCACGATTCGCTCCGGGATCGGCCCGGCACGGCCCAGCCGGGTGAAAGTCCGCCCTGACCGGCGCGGCTCAGCCCGGGTACGCTCTGCCCCGTCGCCTTGGCACGGTTCAGCTTGGCACCGCCCSGCCTGGCACGGATCAGCCCGACCCTGCCTTGTTCTGCCCGTCCCGGTGCACTGAGCCATGGCCCAGCCCGGCTGAGCCCGGCAGGGTTCCCCAATCCCAAACCAAACCCGGGACAGCGGGACAGGGAAGGAGCGATCCCCCCGCCCCGCCCTGCCCGCAGCATCCCCGGGGCTGCTCCGATCCCCGCACAGCCACATTCCCGCATGGAAAACCCTAATCCCGACCTGTCCCGGCAGCCGAGCCGCATTTCCTGCTCCCCGCGGTTCAACACAGCTGATTCCCAAAAYCCGGGAGCGGGAATTGCGGGGTATCCGCACCGCGGCACCCGCCAGGCGCTGTTTTGGGTGATGTGACCCAGTGGCAAGGTCTCCTGGTCCCCGTGGTGACATTTCAAAGGCTCCGAAGGCGGAGCGGCGATCCCAAATGGAATGGGGACATCTAGGGGACCCCCCCGGCGGTGCAGCCCCGCTCCGGCGGCTCGGGATGAGCGCAGGGAACGGAGCTGGGTGGCTGTCCCCGCACATCCCGGCCACACCCGCCTGTGTTCTGCCCCAAATTCACATCCCACCGCCCAGCCGGGGGCACGGGAACAGGGCACGCCCCATCCTGCAGGAAATTACAGCAAAACTCAGCACATGATCCCGCTTTGAGAACATCTGAGCTCAGGGATGCTGTACGAGTTCCCTGACACATCATTCCCCGAAACACCAGGCTGATTGTCATCTTTCCTCGTCCTTGCTGTCAAAAATATATTGGCAGAATATTCCCAGCTCGTGGAGGTTGATTGAAAGAATTACCTGAGCCCCTGAAAACGAGATTGGCGTTAATGCTCGAAAGTTACCGGCTCTGTGTGGTGTTTTGAGAAGTGACCCGCAGGGCTCTGCATCCCCCGGGGTTTAAAACCAGGGATCAGTGACATTACAAATATTGCATTTCAGATTTTCCAACAACAGCAGCACCTTGGAACACTAATTAAACAGCAAGCCCYCCCGTGGTGCTCCAGCTCAAATAATTCCTGCAGATTTCCCCCACTGGCAGAGATTTAAGGATGGCAGAATCAGCCCAGACTGCAGATGTTGGGGTTTTTTTTTTTAGCAGGGGCAGTTTGTCCTCTGTGTTGGCCTTTGGAGAAATTTGACTGAAATTTTGGAGCTGGAGGTTCGGCTGAAATTTTGGATCGGGAGGTTCAGCTGAAATTTTGGAGGCTCTGCCCTGCACTGGAGGTGACTAAAGAGGACTAAAAGAATTATTAAAAGTGACACCTTCAAAACAAAAATGTGGGGGATTTTTTTTCCAGCGTCTCTGGTTTGTCAGAAAAGTCTTTTATTTTTTTTTTCCCCTCCAGTGGAGGGGTGGGAAAGAAGACAGGAAAAGAAGTCAGGAAGAGAAGACAGGCAGACAGCAATGAGCGCTTTCACATTTTCTCTGTGCAGAAATCACACAWGGCTCTCTCATAAATCATCTGATTAATCCTGTCCGTGAATTCTGAGCAGCATCTCGTGTCTGCTGCCGGGTGYTAATTGCCTGTGCCCCAACCTGACTGGGAGCAGTGGGCATTTCAAATGRAATAAATCCTGCTAATTATTGCTCTCAGCTCCGTGCAGGCCATGCCTGACAGCTCCCTGCTCTCCYGAGGGGCAGTTTGATTGCTTTCTCCAGGATGGGACCGACCTGTGTAAGGATCAGATCCTGCTGCTCATGCACCCACTGGGGTGAAATGCTGTGGGGATGGAAAGCCAGGATTAACCCTGAGCTCAGCCTTGGAAAGCTGGGAGAGTTGGGGTTGTTCAGCCTGGAGAAGGTTTCAGGGTGGTGTAATTGTGGCCTTTCAGTGCATGAAGGGGCTACAGGAGGGATGGAGAGGGATGGTTTAGTGATGGAGTGACAGGGAATGGCTTCAAACTGACAGAGATTAGGGTTAAATGGGATATTGGGGAGGAATTGTTCCCTGTGAGAGTGGGGAGCCCTGGCACAGGGTGCCCAGAGAAGCTGTGGCTGCCCCTGGATCCCTGGCAGTGCCCAAGGCCAGGCTGGACAGGGCTGGGAGCACTCTGGGACAGTGGAATTTGTGGGATGAGGTGATGTTTAAGGTCCCCTCCACCCAAACCATCCCAAGACTCCCTGTCAGCAGCTTTGGGGCCTGGCTGGTGTGATCCCAAACGCTGCTGTGTGGCTCCACGGCAGGAAGCAGCAGGATTCTGGTATTTCCTGTGCCTGGGAGAAGCAGGAGGTCACCTTTATTGTCCACTGTGAGCACGGGCTGCTGTTCCACGTGCTCTTTCCCAGCAGGAAATCAGTGCTGATGGTTCCCAAACCTTTCTGCCCTGAGCAGAGCATCTCCTCCTGCTCCAGGATAGCAAAGCAGCCACGAGGAACTGAGGGATCCCACCCCACTGCTCCTCCTGGCTGCTGGGATCTTGTTTCCATGGATAATTCCCCTCTGTGCCCCACCAGAGTCCCTTCATCAATGATCTGTGGGAGATGGTTGTACCTGGCAGGGTTTGCAGCTTTTGGGGTTTGGCAGCACAGCCAGCAATTCCTGGGGTTTTCTGCAGGGTGAGGGATCTGCTTGAGGAGCAGGGATTGATCCAGGCTGGATTTCAGCCTCGTGTCCCACAATTCCTGCGATTTTCTCCAGGGTGTAGGATCTGCTTGAGGATTGGGGATTGATCCAGGCTGGATTTTAGCCTCATGTCCCACAGCAATTCCTGAGGTTTTGTCCAGGGTGAGGGATCTGTTTTGGCTTTGTTAATGAACCCGCCTAATTAAGGCCATGTGGASAGAAGGCAAGAGAGGCACTTTYGGTTCTTTTGCCAAATATTGACYGTTCCCCCTCTGGGCACAGCAATTCCATGGATTTATTTCCCCTCTCACCTCACACAGAGCCCAGAAAACCCCGGAGCCTCCTCTGAATTTGCTGCAACCAGAATTTCACCAAGGAAATCGGAATGGCTGCAGCATCAGGGAATAATTAAATCAGAAAATTCCAGAAAATTCCTCCCCCAGCCTTTTTCACAGAAGTTTCAGCCCAGCTGGAGGGTGGAATCCCACAGCTGCTCCGAGCCTGGGCCGGGAGCAACCTGGGATGGTGGAAAATGTTCCTGCCCATGGAAAAAGGGTTGGAATTGGATGAGTTTTAAGGTCCTTTCCAACCCAAACCATCCTGTGATTCTGTGGAATGGCTGCATACAAGGTTTTGCACCTGAAATAAAATACCTATTATATAAAATACCTTACATTTTAGGTATATCTATTACAAAAGATATATGTGTCTTTAATATATCTATTATTATATATATTTATATATTAATTTATATTATTATAATATTATGTTATTATTACAATATTAAAAAAGGGAATATGGATAAAGACATTATCTGTACACACACCCATATAAAAGGAATTTAAATGATATATTTTTCTACCTGTGCAGGGAAATTTCCAGGAAAATCACACCCTTGTTTGTAACTCCCATCMCAAATTCTGCAGTGAAATTACCCCAATTTCCTACATTTATTTAAAAAAATGGAAATATTTAGCTGTGGCCTACAAAGAATTATTCCCGCTCCTCTGATACCTCTGGCAGTTAATCAAGGCTATAAAAGCAGTGCCCTGAATTAAGACAAAGTGTCAGGGAATGTAATTACAGGCCAATTACCCAGATCCATTATTTTTGTTCAGCAAGGAG